TACATATAATTAATTGTAAATACATATTAAAAATAAACCATACGTAATTATTACCAATTAAAATTTCTTTTATACCTGTATGTCCTTTTTAAAGGACATTAAAAAATAAGTTATTTGAAAATAAGTTGTTAATAAAAATTACTGACTTAGTAATTGTAATTTATCCATGTTCTACATTGTATGCATTGTTGGCAAAGCTAATAAATTAAATTAAATTAAAATTAGGTAACAATAAACATGCTGTTTGCTCACTTCGGAACATCATGAACAATTTCAGAAAGTAGTCTGAACATTTTTAATAATATAAAAATGAAGTGAAATCTCAGACAATGTGCTTATACTGGCACGTTCTTTTTAGCACCAGTACATAACACGCTGATCCCAGGCTGATGATGCATCAACTTCAGTTATTTTGATTCCCAATCTATACTAAATCGCTACAGTTTGTGAGGAATTTTGGCAGTCCATCGTTGGTGGGATGGAAAACTGGAAGATTGGGGGGCCGAGAGGGGAAGCTGGGCTGCTGAATACTGCCACTCAATGAGTTGTTCAAGGAGAACACAGTGTTTAAAAATAGTTAGATCTCGATAAAGAAGAAAATTTTTATACACAACTTCGGTCCACGCTGTAAGGAAAAATATATACCAGAAATATTATTATAAAGCTGCATTCAAATTTAACGTTTGCTTTTGATTAATTTTTACTAGAAATGGCCATCAGCAAGTGCTCACACAATGTATTTTGATATGAACTAATGAATGCTCGGTTTACTATACACACTACTGGAGTGTTATTGATGTAAGGCTTTTAGACTTGTATGTAAATCATACGGTCTCTGTATCTTTATTAACTTGCATGAAAACCAATGTTCACGTATGTAATAACAATAACGGGCAGGCAACCACAACAGCGACAGCCAATTACTGTGGTCCCAAAACACAAGCACATGAACTTATATAACTTTTGACCGATATTCGTTTAGCATAATTGCACTGATAACAAATTAAAGAGCGAATGAATTTGAGCATAACCCATCCCCGTTGAGAAGACGCTGGCGACCGATTCCACTAGCTTTACTACTCTGCACCGTGCATTGGTATCTCTCGCCGTTTCCACTCACTTTTGCCAATCGGTTGTAATCGTATCAAATAGTTTCAATTAACTTACAAGAGCTTAAAACATTCCCTTCACCTCACCATCAACGAGCAAAGTCCAACAACATCCACGTAAGGAAAAGTGAAACGGGTAGCTTGGACGCTTGCGACTGTCTAAAATGTTATTAAGCTCCAACCAGAGAACCCCAATCCTTTTCTACATTCCAACTTACCTTCCAATTAAGCCCTGTGCTTTATCTCTAAAAATTTTCTTTAAAATCCGCAGGAATCCAACAAGGAATCAGCGTTCAACACAACGCAGGCACAGTGCTGCAGAACATTTTCCCGAGAAATGACCCACAGGGTATTCCCTAAGTTTTGTTTTCGATTCTGGGAAAACCGGAAATGTCTGGAAAAATAGGAACAGGACTGGAGGTAGAAAAAGATGAAACGGCGGAATTTACCAACACGCGTGACTCCATTGAAATGAGAGGAAAGGGGTAATTTCAAGGAGAAGTTCGTTTTATCATCGAAACAATAAGCTCCCATACGCAGCCGGTAGGTCTGAAAATTTTTTATTTAACGCACAGGGAGCATAAAGTTACTGACAAATGCTACAGACCTTAAATAGCGCCTCGACCTCATTTCTCTCCAGCCCCGTGCCAAAAAAGTGCCAAGACGGCAGGAAAAGTCGAAATTTCATACTATGAAAACTTTATTTTATTAAAACTACAAATTATATAATTGCCGGGTGCTTCAAAATTCACACTTTAGTACTCAGTACTATTTTTAAAAGATCAATTCTGTTGAACGGAATCGGTGTCTGCTTCCAAGTCGTTACTTGTGTCTTCCTGGTATCTTGCTCTTTCGTTGGCCATAGCAAGTTGTCGCATGTTCAACCCTGCGGCAGCTTCTTGTAAAGCCGCATCCTCTGAACCAATCATCTCCAGCAACAGCTTGGAATACAAAACAAGATTGATTGACATTGATTAACCGTCTTACTGACTGCTGTCAATTATAACTAGGATTTCATTTCTAATATATACATATATAGATACAATGAAATATAAGAAGTTCATATTCATATACATATATATATTTCTTTTTTTTTTCCATGACTTGTAAATTTCGTTTATTCATAATTATTTTTAGTTTAATTCTGTGTGTGTGTATGTGTGTGTGTGTGTGTGTGTGTGTGTGTG